GAAGTATCTCCTTTTCCATACCTTTACCGTTTATATTATGGGTCAAACACGGACAGATAGCCAAGTTAACAGCACATGTACACGACTGAAGACCTATTCTGATCTAAATCAATCGATAAACCGTTTTTTAGTTCCATTTGATAATGAGTTTTTACTTATTTGACGACAAATACCATTGAGTTTTACATAGTGAAAACCAGTCTTAGGAATTTCAACTGGTCCCCTTTGTATCAGCAGCCAAGAGGAAGATGAGGTGGAGTCATCTCCACACTTTATTTTAGATCTTCCAAACTTCGCGAGGCTAAGATGGAAGCATTTTGGCTGCCACTTCTTAACTAACACTGAACTCGCAGGGATCGAAATTAGCCGCATTCGAAATTAGGCAATCGGCTCCCGGCGTTCCGCCGACTAAATTACGGGTATCCGTTCAGTTTTTTCGTGGTATTACAAAGGAAAATCTCTTAATTGTCCAAGTATGTCCCTTGGCTGGGTCAACCACTTTTACCTAACCCAACCTTACCTGTACTTCTTTGAGCTATGAATACGGGATATTTTTATTACATATAAGTGGTATTCACCAAAGCGAGCAAGTGGCTCTCTGGCTAAGGGGTAGATGAGCTCAAGCAACGACTGTTGCCAACGGTTCTGCTCTTTTGCCAGACTGCCAGGCCACTTGCTCACTTTGGTGAATAACGCTAATTATTTTCAAATATCTTATGGCTAAAAGAAACAAATTTTTTCTGGTTTTCAAATTAAGAAAAGAGTACAACTTTTCAAAACTTTTTGTTTCATTAACACTTTATCTAATAAATAAAAAAAAAGTTTAGTTTGAAAAGTAGCGGTTTTAATTCATATATATGTATTTCGAAAAATTTAGAAAACTGTGCACGTAAGGTTCACTCTAAGTATTCGAAAATAAGTAGTACCCACTGTCCTCTTCACTTTCTGAATCTGCATAACCTTCTTCATCATTTAAATTTATGCTATCTTAATTTTTTAAATTTATGCTATTTATAATTCGTGGTGCAATGAGTAATTTCAGTACTTCCTCAGGAAATATTGGAAAGCTTTTCAGATACATTTCCGAAACTATTTATGAGAGAATGGAAGTAATCAATAGCTTTGATAAAAGATCTTCGTTAGTAGCTACAGGCGAACACTTTCTAGCACTGTGTAGCCAATATCTTGTGAAAACCTTATTTGTAGCTTCTTGAGCCTCCTCTGACAGTGGCAAAAGCACGTATTTTACCACCTCATGCCTATGAAAGAAAATTTTGTGCAACGTTGCAGGCACATAGAACGAAGAGTATTGTTTTAATTAATCATCTTTTATTTTATTAATGATATCTTGTAACTCTTCATAGCCAGAAAATAGGGCTAAACTTCGTTTCCCAAGATGCTCTATTTCAATCGGTTTTCGTGAATATGCAACTGCAGCTGATTTAGCTTAGAAGGCTTACTACTCTTTATTTACTGATATTCTAAGAAAAAAGTTTGCGTTTGACTGAGGGAGTATTTCTCGCCCAAACGTACCGTTATTCCTTTAAAATTTATAACAAGTTTCTCTGTTCCCACTTACTGATAGCAAAATACACCTTTTGAAAATATTTGTTTTTAAATAGTTGTAAGAGTTAGTTGGGCTTATAATAGGATTCATTAAAAAGCATGAAGACAGCGTCAATACATATATTAAACTCAAATTTGTGTCATGCGTTGTCAAATGTTTTCAATTCTACCAAGGGAGCAAGATTAAACAAAAAAAAATTAATATTTTTACAAATTAACTACTGTCTATAAATTCTCCATACGGATTCTAGTTCAGTCACAAATTTAATACAGGACATCAGTAAAAACCTTAAACTTGAACCTTTATTAAAAAAAAAAACTGTCGAAATACCTTTTAAAGCCAATAAAAAATTTCATTTCACAAGATGTTCTACTTCGATCTTCTTCTTTATTGGCGCTATAAACGCCTATGCGATTTTGGCCGAGTCGGAAACAGCACGCCAGTCATTTCTCTTCTGAGCAGGAGCGTTTCTGTCCATTGGAATAACAGACAGCGGAGCCGTTGAATTTTAATTCGCTGCACTATGTCTATATCGTTGTAAAGCTCATACATCTCATCTTTAAATCATCTTTCTCTCGAAAACTCCAAGAGCCACTTGATCAGATGTTTTCATTGTTCATGCCTCCGCGCCATACATCAGCACAGGCATGATGAGTGACTTACAGAGTGTGATCTTTGTACGACGAGGGAGGACTTTAATTCTCAATTGCCTACTCAGTCCACAGTAGCACTTGTTGGCAAGAGCGATTCTCCGTTGGATTTCAAGACTGACATTACTATCGGTGGTTCCCAAATAAACGAAGTTGTCTACTTTTTCAAAGTTGTAACTGTCCTCTGGGCGGCCGCTGTGGTGTAGTGGTAAGCAGTGCACGCTTTCACTCCGCAGCGCCTGGGTTCAAGCCCTGGGCAAAGCAACATCGCAAAAAATTTAGAAAAAAGGTTTTTTCTTAACAGCGGTCGCCCCTCGGCAGGCAATGGCAAACCTCCGAGTGTATTTCTGCCATGAAGAACAGCTTCAACTGTAGGTCCCTCCCCTTTGTGTGTCAACATCAAGGCGCACGCCGCAAATCGGGGGAGAAGCTCGGCCAAACAGTAGCATATGTGCAAGCGCCAATCTATTATTATTATTATGAACTGTCTCTGGGACTGGGAACTGGGAGAGGTCCTTCCCAATTTTGACAGAGCTGGTGGTATTGCATAACGCCATTTAACACAGCCGTATTAGTTTCGCGGGGATACCAAATTCAGACATCGGCATAAAGACAACTTTTTTTCATGCTGTCGAAAGCGGCTTTGAAATCGACAAATAGATGGTACATGTCGATCCTAATCTCGCGGGTTTTTCCCAAGATTTGGCGTATTGTGAATACCTGATCTATGGTGGATTTGCCAGCTATAAAGCCACACTGATAAGGCCAAATCAGTTCGTTGACGGTGGGCTTCAGTCATTCACACAATACACTCGGTAAGGCCTTGTAACCTATGCTTAGGAGGCTGATCCCGCGGTAGTTGGCGCGTTCTCTGGTATCATCAGATGTTCTTTCGGGCTCGCTGAAATCCGACTGTTTCTTCGGTGGCGGTACTTGATGAGTGGCAAATGTGGCACCACTGCTCGCGTATGCCTGGTTTTGAAGAGTGCTCTCAGAGAGCAGGTATGTGAGTCGAGGGGCGCATAAATTGACCGTCTGTTGAGAATGCAGCTATTCAACGTTAAGCTTGGCATTGAAATCGCCAAGCACTCATTTTAAATCGTGCCGGGGACGGCGCTCATATGTTATCTCCAACCGGATTTTGGCCAAATGTTCCTCCACCAGAGTCAACGCCAATACTCGGCGACGGAGTCTCTCTCCTACCACGAATCCAAAACTGAATTCGCGCTCCTTTACATGGCTACTGTAGTAGACGTCCCAAGGCTTCATGCTTGCCTTGCCACGTCCATCACATTTAGCCTTCCCGAGGGCATCAACCAGCCGGGCAGAGGCACCTTGCCCATTAGGTGTCCGGGTATTCCAGGTGCATACCCTTAAATTATAGTCGTCATAAAAAAGGGGGTCTCATCCAAGGCTGCTTTTTGTTTTTCATTCAAACCCAGTGCACGCGAAGTTTTACTCCTTCTCACTTTAGCTGGCTGCCAACCAGGTCTTTGGTCGCTACCCAGAGGATACGAGGATATAAATATCCCGACGTTGTGAGCTACAAGAATCAATTCTGGCTACTCCCAGATGAATGGCTGTCAAAAGCTTTCCACTTCTGCGCACGGAACCATCCTCAGTTTTCGTAAATAAGCTACTGCAACTGATAAACTAACTTTAGCGGCTAACTACTGCTTCTTTACTTATATTTTACAAAAACAAATTGCATTGATGATACTTTTAAGAGTATTTCTAGTGCAAATACACCGTTATTACATTGAAATTTAAAATTGAGTTTTGTCCACCTAGCTTCTTCTATGCACCACACCGTGCGATAGAAGGATGAGCTGTAGGTTTACAACGAAAAAGACATAGTGCGGCGAATTAAAGTACAGCGGGTTGGCCATGTGCAACGATTGAACGGAAACGCTCCTGGTCTGAATTTATTAAACGCGGGCCGTGATGCTTTAAACGGAGAAAGAGGAAGGCCTCCTCTGTAATGGGAAGACCAGGTGGAGAAAGACTTGGCGTCAGTTGACACAGAAGAGAAACGACTGACGTGTTTTGTTGGACTCGACTAATGTCGCTTAGGCGGTTACGACACCAACCAGTAAAAAGAAATTATGTACTCTTGAAGTTCTGAGCTGCATGTGAGCATACTGAAATTGGCATCAATCTTAGAATGTCTAGCTGGGTATATGCGTTCACTAAGCAAATGGTACTGCGGACAACTTGCGGACATTTTTTACTCGTCAGTTCTCGTGGCACAAACACCCGACTGTGATAGGCATACATGACAACCCGATTATCTCCCTGTATTGACGAGTATAAGGCGCGGAACTCTTTTAATCCTTGTGTCCCGCCTTTGAGGGGATTAGGTATTTATGAGGCATCACAGGATTTAGGAACACCTGAGCTCTTTGGTTTATTCCTAGTTCGTGTAGACTTAAAACAGTTTCCTACATTCCCATTTTAACCTACATCGAGCAGTGACAAAATATCTGCACTTCCTTCTCTAAAGACGTTTTAAGATTTCGTAGGCTCATTCCGAATCCTTCAATAAAATTTGTGAAGGCGCTCTGGCTTGGGAGAAATTTTCGGATTTCGAAACCAATTTCTTTGAAGCCCAAAAGCACAGAGAAATTGAGGTCAGAATCAGCTATAAAAATTTTACTTATTCTTACTGCCCAAATTTTGCCGGACTTGCTAAATGAAATAATATTTCCTATACAAATTTATTTTTTTATTGTTCCATTAAAATTTGTTGCTATGGCTCCGTACTAACATAAAAACACTCTCACCTGTTAACTACTTCCATTGAATGCAATGTTATATCCATTTGTACCAAAACGTTAAAATATTCCGTTATTTCCACCGTCTTCATTAGTCGTAGTAAAATTTCTATTGATATTAGTGGATTATTTTCCACAAGCTGAGGCAACTGTAAAGATAAATAAGCTAAGCGTCAATTAAAATTTTGCTAATAAAGGGTTAGAACTACGGCTAGATAACCTCCGGTTAGTGTAGGTTTTAGGTAGGGTCCAGTACAACATGGAAATAGTTTATCCTGGCTTTTGAAAATGTTTGAAATCAGATAAAAACCACACCCTCTAAAACACCGCTAAATTTTAGATTTTCCAAATTACCGCTACATGGGAGCAGGGCGTGCATTTTTACGTAAGCGGACCGTACCACGCCGATTTTTTTTATTTATGAAAAACCAATTCTTTGCTAAACCGTCAGGTTATATATATTAATATTGAGAACATATTGATTAATTCCTTAGCTACACTACGAAAAAGATCTTAAAATCTAATGCTTCATCCATATAAATTGAAGACGGTATTAATACTCAAGTTGCCCAACTTCGACAATATTTTTCTGATTTCTTTAAAAGAGGTACATATCAATTTACTCGAAAGTATGTTTTAAACATTTGGCAACTTTCATAGACATTTTTTAAATTAACGATGGCCAAAGTTCAATAAATTTAGAAAAATAAAGGCTCTTTAAAATTTTTCCGATGAAAATTCCCAGTTATAAGGTCTAACAATAGATTGTTATAGATAATTTTAAATGTGTTTTGCACTGTGTTTTTATTCGTTTCCTATTCTTGTTTGGCTCAGTAACCGCCTAAGCTATTTTGGCCGAGTTCAACAAAGCACTCCAGTCGCTCATCTTTTGAGCCAACTTTTCATCGCAGTGGGGGCCTCCCTCTTCCTTTGCTGCCACCAGCGGGTTCCGAGTTGAATACTTTAAGAGATGGAGCGTCGGTGCCCATTCGAACGACTTGGCCAAGCCAGTGGACTATTTCCATAACATTGTAAAGCTCATACAGCTCATCGTTCCATTGTCTGCGGTACTCGAATACTCATAGAGCCGCCTCATCGGATGTTTTCATTTCCCACGCTTCTGCGCCATATACCAGCGAGGGCACGATGAGTGACTTACAGACAGTGGTTTTCGTACGTCAAGAGAGGACTTTACTTCTGAATTGCCTACTCAGTCCAAAGTAGCACTTGTTTGCAAGAGTGACTCTGCGTTGGATTTCGATACTGACATTATTATCGGTGTTAAAGCTGGTTCCCAAGAACACGAAATCCTCTACTTTCTCAAAATTATAACAGTCAACAGTGACGTGGATGTCAAGGCGCGAATGCGCTGACTGTTTGTTTGATGACAGGAGATACTTCGTATTGTCCTCGTTTACAGCCAGGCCCATTCGGTTTGCTTCCTGAGCCAACTTGGAAAAGGCAAAAAATACTTCGCGGGTTTTGTTACCGATGATGTCGATGTTATCGGCATAGGCCAGCAATTGCACGCTATTGGAGTACACTGCTCCTAAGCAGTTCAGATCTGCGGCTCTTATCTTCTAAACCATCAAACTAAAGAAATAACACGAGAGAGAGTCACCTTGTCTAAAGACTCGTTTGGTATCTTCTCCAACATCAGGTTAAAGAAATCACACGAACGGGAGTCACCTTGTCGGAACCTCGTTTGGTATTAAATGGCTCGGAGAGGTCCTTCCCAATTCGCAGGAGCTTGCCGTATTGCCCAACTTCATTTTACGCAGCCGTATCAGTTAGCGAGGATACCAAATTCCGACTTCGCGGCGTATAGGCAAATCATTTTAGTGCTGCCGAAAGCGGCTTTGAATTCAACAAATAGATGGTGAGTGTCGCTCCTTTTCTCGCGGGTCTTTTCTAAGATTTGGCGTATTGTGAATACCTGGTCTATGGTGGATTTTCCAGGTATAAAGCCACACTGATATGCCAAATCAGTTCGTTGACGGTGGCTTCAGTCTTTCACGCAATACGCTCGATAAGACCTTTCAACCTCTTTTAGAAGGCAGAACCCGCGGTAGTTGGCGTGAATGGCCTTTCTTATGAATTGGGCAGAAAACACTTAAATTCCAGTCTTTAGGCATGCGTTCATCTGACCATATTCTGCATAAGAGTTGATGCATGCACCTTTTCCTCTTATACTGCAACCAAATTATCAAAATCTTACGAGTTTTGCGAGGGCGCCAATTCTTTAGGAAGTGAAAACTCCTTTGGCGGCGGGAGTGATTTTAAAGTCGAAGAAACAAAAAACATGACAACAACATCAAAAACAATACGCATTTGTATGTTATTTGCCTTTAAGTGTGTAATTATATCTACTCACAGAAATCAAGCGAAGTATCGAAGTCAAATTGACGTAATTTTGTTTTCTACGCTTTTATTGTTACCTATGTTAAGCTAGCCAAAAAGCGTTTGGGTGTTTACGTGCCAACGTGGAGTCTACGTGCGTACATATGTCACCGCATAGAGTTCGAGCGAAGGGTTGAAGTCAAATTGAAGTGATTTTGTTTGTTTTGATGTTGTTGTTGTTGTAGCGGCAACAACCATGCCCAGATCGGTTAGTTTCTCAATCGTTGTCGTCAAACTCTACTAGCGGTAGCCCCAAGAATCGTGCTGCTTCGATGGGGTCTGTCCATAGAGACTGGGGCGTCGGTAGGGTGGGGTTCAGTGGGCATACGAAGAGATGCTGTGAGTCATGGGGCGTCTCTCCGTACGCCGGGCAATCGTTTAGAACATCTTCGTTTATTCTGCTCAGGTATGAGTTCAACCTGCTGTAGTAACCAGAGCGCAGTTGGGTTATTGTGGTCCTAGTCTGCGAGGCAGACGAAATTCTGTCTCGTCGACGTCTGGTGGTTGTGTGCCCAGAACGACATTCAAAGGTCGAGAGTCTACATAACTCGAGACTGCCTCTCTGTGAATGCCGCTCAGGACCTGTCGATAATCTGTCGGGTCCAGAAGTTGTTTGATGAACCTCTGGACTTCGTCCGTCAGTTCGTAGAGATGCCTCCTGACGTGCCTGGGCGAAGGCTCCTCTGCAAGCAGTTGCCTATTTGGATGGCAACATCGGTGGCTCCCAACCAGGAACTGCCTGCAGAGCATTGTGTTATGCTCCTTTATAGGGAGCATTTTCGCCTCGTCGTTCAGGTGATGTTCCGACGACATCAAAAGGCATCCTGTCGCTGTCCTGAGTGCTGTGTTTTGGAAAGTCTCCAGTTTTATCCTACTAGTCCCCGGCGACCACACGGTCGCTGCATAGTTCAGAACCGGCCGGCCAATTGCCTTGTACATTGCCAGCAATGTTCCTTTGTCTTTGCCCTAGGTGCTGCCGGCTAGCGACTTGAGGACCTTGTTGCGGCTTTGTACTTTGTTAACAATTGCGGTGGTAAGCACCTAGAAGGAGAGCAGACTTTCGAAGGTTAGTCCGAGGATCTTCCGGTTGTTCACCGTCGAAATTGGTTCGTCATCGTGAATTCCCAGCTGTAGTCTGACGTCATTCGTCCAGGTGGCAAAGAGAGTGCAGTGAAGAAGCAAGAAAGCTCGGCGATATAACAGTTTACTTTCGAGCACAAGTCATCAATTCCATTCCCAGATGCCATGATCGAACAATCGTCAGCACAAGAGACAATCGCGACTGCCTATGGTGGTTGAGGGAGCCTTGAAATGTAAAAGTTAAACAGTAATGGGAAAGGACACCACCCTATGGAACCCCCAGTTTTATTTTCCTAAGTGTGCTCGATTTGTCTCTACTTACTGACGAGTGACGACCACTAAGATAATTCGCCGACCACCGTTTGAGTCCCTGTGGGCGAGAAGAGGCCCCCATGTCTTCTAATAGCATTGAATGGCTGACAGTGTCGAACGCTACTAGAATGGTTCTCTCACAGGGGCGGTTTCGGTTTACGCCACGAGTTATCTGGGTATTTATGGCGTTAAGTGCATTTGTTGCGCTGTGCACTTTACGGAACGCATGCTGATGCCTCGTTGGGATCAGGTGGTTTGTATAGTGCGGGAGTAGATGGAGAGTTACCAGGCGATAGCACTCTCCTTTGTTGGACGGTTTCCCCGGTTTAAGCAGCGGGACCACTCTTACCATTTTCCAGATGTCTGGAATGATGAGAGTGGCCATTGACAGGTTGAGGACCTTGGTTAAAAAATCCACTCCCGCGGGACCCAAATTTTTCAGCATCAACATGGAAATTCCGTAGGGTCCAATGGCTTTGGCGGCTTTCGCCTTCCCGATGGCTACCCTTACCATACCGCTGGTGAAAACAAGAGGCGCAGTAGGTTTTGGCACGTTGTGCAGCCTTCTGGTCACTCCACGTTTGACGGGGTGTGAACTGCTGGCTAAAATAGCTCGCGCACATCTCCGGGTCTGACGAAGCGTGGTCACCAAAGTCTAATTCATCTCTGTCGTCACGCCTCACCTCACGGATGATCAGAGCTTACTCACACCAGAAGCGAAGTTGCAGGTCTTCAGATGCTCTTCTCATTTCTTCAGCATATGTACGTTCACAAGTTGCGAATCAACGAGTAGAGATCCCTGATAGGGGAATTTGCGGGATCGGCCTGACTAAGGTTCTCACGGTCAGCAGCTGGGACGCCGCTTCAGCAGCAAATTCGGACAGGGGTCCGTAATGCATCCTGCTGGAACGAAGCGGGCTGCAGCAGCAGTGACAACCCTGCGGAATTTATGCTCACCTACGTGAACGTCGGTTGGTGTGGGTAGAGCAGTGAAGGTGCTTTCACTAACATCCGCGAAGCCTTTCCAGTCAGCTTTGAAGAAGTTGACATAGAACCGGTGATCCGCGGAAGCAAAGTCGGCTGGTTTATCAATCGAAATGACTATGGGCAGATGGTCTGATGCTAAAGTCAGCACAGGTCGCCAAGAATACGCTGTTTATCAGACCAGCCCTGACAATTGTTAGGTCTGGCGAGCTGCAGCAGCTGTCCATAATCCTGGTGGGTGCGTCGTCGTTCATTGTGCAAAATGTCGAATCGTCTATCTGCTTACTCA